GAGAACATAAATGGGCCGAGGGGGGGGGAGGGGGGGCAGGGCTGGGTGGGTTAACCCTTTGATGCCCCTTCTGCAGGAGGACGCAAGAAGTGAAACCCTTCTGAGTACATTAATCCAGCCGGTTCAAGATGAGCAGGTGCCAACGTGCAGCTTGCCAAATGAGTCTTATTTTTTTCCGGGTTTGGTTGTGCAAACACAGCCCGTTTAGTTAGTTTGTGGTCCTGGGTGTTGAGCCAGCCCAGCATAGGGCAACTGTTAGGTTGTCTGATGGCACAAAGCCAACCACTGAAGTTCCCGGTTTTAATTCTTCTCCGGCCGGGGAGGATGGTGAAGAAGGTGTGTTTTACAAGTAGTTGAACTTGACTCTGTTCTCTTTCTGCTGCTTGGCCTCATACTGACTTTTCAGGCAATAAAAACGCCATTAAGCGGGACAGAATCTGTACCCAGGCACTGCCTTTATGAGATTGGTAGAGAGCTCGCAATACAGGATGCCTTTTGGAGATGCTAAAAGCTTGATTGGGCAGGTAAAGTTAAACATCTTCAGTTTGCACTCAATTCTGGGAGACACTGTGCTGTTTCCTCGGCTGCAATGTGGAAGTGGTTTTTCGGTGCCCTTTTTTTCAGGATTCTGTTCCCCAGTTTCCTAGTCTAGCCCTACACGATCATCTCCCATCCAGGGACTAACCAGCCCTGACCCTACATAGGTTGAAAAGCTCATTTCAGGTCATCCAGGTGTTGGCATTGAGCTGGTCGCCATTAGAGAAGATGCTTAAAATACATGGTGGGGGGACCAGGGGGTGGTTGAATGTGGCTAGTATTTTTTTAAACAGCCTATTTTCTATCCAACCCGAATTGCCTTGAGATAATGTGTCTTATCACAAAATTTTATTTACACATGAACCAATCCGTTTTCCCTTGTTCCACAGGCCACATTTAAGATAAGCCACAGCTTAGTGTGACATGTGAACACCAGTTTAGCTCCCTTGCTAAGCCGCATCGTCGTACATCACGCTTCATCAGAAGGGGTTGTGCAAACGTAGCCACCGTAACTTTTGTAAGCTGTGGTTTGTGGCTTTGTGCAATGGGTGAACTAAGGCAATTGTGGCTTATGCAGCAAATCGTGGCTAATGCATTGCTGGGCCAGCCAGCACCTGCGAAGACGACTGTGGTTACCAAGACAAATTAGAGCTTTTGCTCACCTGAGTGACGTTTGCAGGGCCATCCTATAATAGCGTCTGCTTGAAACCTTTCAAGGTTTACTTCGAAAGCAGAGCAGAACTGAGAGCTCTCGTGTGCACTTTTTTTGCAACTTAGGCGTAGCGTATCTGCTTTCTTTGCATGCAAGAAATCCAAGATGTCTGGGTGTGGAAAAGAGTTGAACTTGGCATGTTCCCCGTCGGAGTCAGCTGGGACGAATTGTGGCCTTTGCTGGCAAGTCATGGGTGAAGGGAAGGCCCTTGGCGCACACCCAGATCCTCACTCGCTGGGCCTGAGGCTGCTCACGACGTACCTTTGCCACACACATCTGGCATCAGGGAATAAGAGGCTCCAAGTGAAGGGGGGGATGTCCAGAGAACTGAAGCCTTCGTTCAGAAATGAAGGAAGAGCGAGACACGAGCAGTGCGAAATGGAGTCTTAGCCCCAGATTAAATGGCAGGTTTATTAGAGGCCAGCAAGCCTGCCTTTTCCTCCTTCCCCTTAATCCTGAATTACAGCCTGTGTCTAATTTCAGCCATCTCTCACCAGCCTCATATTTCAAACGTCCCAGATCCAGACAGAAGGAAGAAGAAAAGCCATGGGCTCAACCCGGACACTTCACCCTAACAGAGACCCTCCTTTCCCCATGCTGGAAGAGGCTGTGTTAGATCAGCCCTGTACTGCGGAAGGAAGGAAGGAAGGCAGGAAGGAAGGCAGGAAGGAAGGCAGGAAGGAAGGAAGGAAGGAAGGGATCTTATCTTGCAGGGAAGGAAAGCCAATCACAGTGACTCATTTCTATAAAATACTCTAATTTTTCCACACAGCTTCTGGAGCACTTCCTTCCCTCCAGCCTCTGCTTCCACCCTGGAGATGTTCTTCCACAGCAGCTTGGGGAGGAAGGCCACCAGAGGCCCGCCCGCCCGGGCCACCTTCCCTGTCCCCCATTGTCTTTGCTGAGTTTTTCATCTGGGCTCATTGTACGGGCGAAGCGCAGTTGGTCTTGCCTCTTTGCAAAGGGGGAACAAGCCTTCCCCTTCTCCAGCCCCTGCACTTTTTGCCCCCTGCTCCCTGGGGGTGGGGGCAGGGGAGGCCTCCTGGCGCATTAAAATTTCGCAGAATGCTCCTCCTCTGCCCCCCGCCCCGCCCGGGGAGGCAAGGGAGTGTGTCTGAAAAGCAGAGACACGCGCCTTCTCTGCCCTCCTGACCCCCATCTCCATAAAGCTGCAAGGCTTCCTTGCAGTTGCCAGACAGCTAGACTCCTCCCCGTGGCTCTCCTTCACACACACACACAAATACACACTCAGGCCTAGCTGCAGTTAACCCCTTCAGCCCAGACCCTGAGACCTTGGTCTGCAACGATGGGAGGAAATCAACTGCAGAAAACCACCAGAATGCAGAAATTAGTGTTCCAGAATCCTGAATCGGCTCAACCGTTTGTCTAGAGCGGTGCTCCTGAACCTTGGCCACTTGAAGATGTGTGGACTTCAACTCCCAGAATCCTAACTAGGGAATTCT